TTGAGCGGATATATTAATTTGTTCACAGTGTCGTTACATAATATAACAGCATCTGACGCTCTAACTCATGCCAACAATCATGAATTTTGTACTGCGTTCGTCATATAATCTTATAATTGTTGTATTTATTTATGATGTCGAAATGACTAAATTAATTTTTTAACATATTATTAGGATATTGAGAAAGACTGTCGTACAGTCGAAACGTTTATCGTAACTTTTGTATAGTATGACGTAAATTAATAAATAAAAATTTTTCAATTAATAGCATATAAGCTCGTTAAGTTGGCCTTTTATTATATCACATATTTTAATTGTATACGAGCCGAAGTTTAATTTATAAAATATATATATTTATTTAACGATGTTATTCGAATGTATTTGTAATACATGCCTATACACACGGTACGTATATGTATACAAACTACCGTCGGCATTAGCGTCACCCAATGTGCACCACGTGGAGGTTGCGCGATCGGATTTGCACATCATTTGGGCCCTGATAAGGGCCATTTTTTGTCATTGAAACATTGAAAATGGTTCAATAACTTCTCCTTCGATTTCTTCATCTTGATTATATCTATTAGCAGCGTCTTTTATGTGATTAAGTAATGTGACGCTGGGATATTTAATATTAGGTTGATGTCGTGCGTATCCTAAAAACCAGAGAACACTTGCAACATGAGTACATAAACCCAGTGTTCGTGAACCTGATACACAAGTACAGTAATAACCCGTTATGGGTTCATTATTTTCATCTCCATGAGGTCTGTAAGCAATCCATAATTGATGCTTCGTTGCATTGCGGAATCGAGAGTACACCCGAACTCTAAGAAGGCCAGCTTCATTTCTGTGTTCATCAAGTTCAAATACTTCAGATTCATCGCGCACCAGTTTGTCTTGAATATACGCAGGTGCTAAACGTATCTGATAAATACCGACAGTTAACTCTTTCAAGAAATCGATGTCAAGTCTTGGAAAATCAAGAATCTGATTTTCATTTAAACGATTCCACATGGCATTTCTTCTTGCCAGATGCTCTGTTTCAACTCTCAGTCTCAGTGTATTTTCAGATCTTGCCTTTTGAAGCATTTGTTCAGCAAGTTCCGCGGTAGCTCCATCCATTAGTATAACGTCTCGGTACCTATTGATTATTGCTCCAGCAAAAAAAAGCGGGGTAAGATATCATATTCGCCCCGCTCACGTATATCTTTTTTAAATGATAAAAATAAATAAATCCATCAATATAAATTTAACATATATAAGACAGGCAATAAGAGCCAAATCGCGGATGACAGTGCGTTATCCTAAACAAAACTAAATTTTTTTTTTTCGTTAGAATTAAATACTTGTGCACAAGGCACCAAATTTTACTTGGACACGGCCAAGATATAAAATTGGAATAATCTCTACAAGAGATTTTTAATTCCATGTATCCCCTATTCCCCCTAAAGAAATAAATGCGAGAGAAAAATATAGATCCGAAAGTCGCAGAATCGGGAATCGAACCCGAGACCTTTCGCTTGCCGGGCGACTGCTCTTCCAACCCTGTTCCATCGTGTACTGCTATCTGTACGCGGCTCGCAGTAATAGCGCGAGATAACAGCTGACTTACAATTAGCACGTTGAGTCTAGACAGACTGTGTACATACGTGTAGTGAAAGCTGTATAGTGTTTATAGTAGTAAGTGTATAGAAGTGTTTAGAAGAGTGTATACAAGTAAAAGAAAAATATATTATAAAAGTGATGGGAAGAAAATACGACAAAACACATTTGCTCTCACTCGCCGCAGGATGTCGCGAAAGAAAGGATGGATGAAAAGGTTTGTAACACCATTTTAAATTTAGGTGTCCGAAAATTCGCAGAACACCCTGGGAAGGTAGAGAGTGTTATCTGAACAGAAAAGTTCTGTATCATTCTGTATCATTCTCTACCTTCTCGAGTGTTCCGCGAATTTTTAGACACCCTGTATAGAACTTGGGTTCGGCGAAGCAATCTGAAACGTCTGGATGCTCTTTTGACTAATTCTGTTATTTATTATATATAAATTTATTAGTGATGTAAAAAATACTTTGAAAAAAAAATATTTTTAATACTTTTTTTCTTACATTAGATTTATACAGAGTGATCAGAAGTCCAAAAAAGGTGGAATATTTCATGATTAATGCGATTTTGAAAAAAATATTTTAAACTAAATTCGTAAAAATTAAACAAGGCGTATCATAATTTTATAACCCAATTATATTGTACTTTATAGTTTTTTAAATTTTAATGAAAATAAATTAAACTTACAATTTAATTATATATAATAAATTATAGATAAATAGGCTAAAAGTAAAATTACACTTAAAAATACTGTGGCCTGAAATTTGCCAATCAGTGTATTGTAATAGAACAAAAATAGAGTAAAGAAAGAGACAACGTCTGCAACGTCTTAGATTTGCTTTGCCGAACCCAGACAGAGTATTCCAATGTATTCCAAGCTTTGAGTGCGTAAAGAATAAAAAAAAATTTTATAATTGTTGCAAAAGCTATAGCCGGGCAAGCATAGTGCCCCCAACTAGTTTCTAAATGACATTTGGCTTGTCATTTTCTAACTATAAAAAACAATTTTTCCTAGTTTTGCTCCCTAACTCTAATGTCTAGAGAGAAGATTATTTTTATTTCTTTTCTCTATCGCAAATATTTTACATTATCACACATCAATTTTTTGCTAAATTCTAATAAACCAAAGACACCAAAAAAATTTTTTATATTTTCGAATAAGAACTCAATTAAAAATTTTAAATAAAATAAAGAAATGGCCTTTTCAGTACGTTCCTTTCGAGGTTCAATCACAAAACTTTTACAGAATATTTTGTCTTTATGTCTCAATACTCTCAAATTGTTTCAAATTTTTCGAGTTGGTGCATCATTTAAAAAAAAATAAAAATTACTTTTTTTTGCATTATTTCCAAACATTATTTATTTTTCTTATAACAATTATAGTTTTGACCATACATAAAAAATATAAAATTATATTTACACAAAAATTACAGCAACTTTTACAAAAATGTAATCGAAAAGTAAATTTCTATATGAGAAGAAATTAGCTCTTTTAAATTTTTTAATATAATGCTAAAAAATAGTTTTCATTCTTTTTAAAATATTCCAACAACTTGAAAAAAATTTTAAACTTTGAAAGTATTCAGACATAAAAAAAAGAATATTCTGTAAAAGTTTGGTTATTGAACCTCGAAAGAAACATTCTGAAAAGGCCATTTCTTTATTTTATTTAAATTTATCGAGTTTTTATTCGAGAAACCAAAAAAATATTTTTTTAGTGTCTTTGGTTGATTCTGCAAAAAATTTATGTGTGATGATGTAAAATATTTGCAATAGAAAAAAGAATTAAAATAAAAATAACCTTCTCTCAGGAAATTATAGAGTTAGGGAGCAAAACTTTTGGAAACATTGTGTTTTTTACAGTTAGAAAAAGACAGGCCAAATGTCATTACGAAACTCATTGGGGGCACTTTTATAATAGCATGCTTATCCAGCTATGAACTTTGCTCATTTTTGCTTTATTTTAAAGAAAATAAAGCCATGTTGGTAAATTCATTCAAATATGCACATATTGTTACATGTATAATTAATTTACTTGTACACTTCTAATGAGTAACAGACTAATTTTAAATAAAAAGAGAATAAAATAAACGTGTTCGTGATTCGAGGGTTTTTCACTCGAATGTCGTGAACGCGTGCGGCGGGTTCCGCTCCGCGAGAACGCGGGATGAATGTGCGATGAGAGAGAAGGCGGTATAGCGTTGAGAAGGAGCGAGAGAGACAGAGTGATATAACGTTGAGCAGGAGCGAGAGAGACAGAATGATAGTAGACCGCGACTGCGAGACTGAAGATTAAAGACGGGAGCGAGAGAGAGTAACAGATTTATAAAATGCACAATTGTTTAATCAAATTAACAAAACTGTCATTTATTCACTTTGTCCGTGTTAAGTATAATGCTGGAATCGTATCACTGATGCGACACTTAGATAGAGTTCCGCGTTCCCGTTACTAACGATAAGTCCGGCCAAGTTGTTCTAATTTTGAAGGTGCGGACGCGATCTCGATCGTATGATTTCTCGTTAGCTTCTGACAAAGAATCGGCGGGAACGCCGGTTTGCTCCTCAATTTGCCCATACGAGAAGAAGCAAAACAGTTTGACCGGGAAACGCTTCAAGGTTTTTCTGCGTGCGAAAGTCGGGATAGAATAACGAATAAACAAGAGACGTCGAAAACAAGTCAACGGATATTTTCGCGAACGAGAATCTGTCGACGAGAGTCATGCCAAAATATTTAATTTTTAAGACGATAATCTCAAAGGACAGCCGTTACTGCGAGGCTGACACGAATAACGCGAGTAATTTGAAAATATTGACACAATAAGCAAGATTGAACGACTTGGCGGAACGACAATTTGAACGACATAAATTTACAGAATAGACAGACTCGAATTTAATAAACGTGTTGACGGTCCTTAACATACCGCTTGCCTCGAAACTATCGTTTCGAAATATATGCTATGGGTACAAAACTAAGAGAACAGTTAGAAGGATTTAACGAGGCGATCGGAATGTTGAGGGTACGTATGATTTCCTTTGAAATCGGGAGCATGAAGTCGCTTTACGTCGGAGGCTCCAGGCTCTCGATATCGATTGGAAGCAGGCATAGCTTATTAATCGGTCGCTTATACTCGGACGCCGCAGTCTTCACCGTGACAACGCGAGTTAATCCGTCTTGACCCGTGTGACATCGTAGTACGCGAGCGAGCTCCCATTTGCAAGGGGGGAGTAGAGGGTTACGCAATAAGACGAGTTGACCGACGCGGATCTCGGTTTTAGCAGTTTCCACTTGACGCGCTGTTGTAACGTATTTACATAGTCGTCAAGCCATAACTTCCAGAATCTTTCTGAGATCTGGCGCACGAGTTGCCAGCGCGACAGTCTATTTTCGCGAAGATTCAAAACGGAAGTTCGGGAACTGCGGTCAGGGCCGAGCCGATCAAAAAAAGCTCGGGAGTTAACGGTTCATAATCGTCGACCGAGTCGTTGAGAGGAGCGAGCGGTCGGGAATTGAGACACGCCTCCACATTGCATAAGACTGTTGAGAATTCCTTAAATGTGAGAGTATGAGCCCCAATCACTCGACGGAGATGGTGCTTTACACTCCGTACTCCCGCCTCCCATAATCCGCCGAAATGAGGAGCGGAAGGTGGCATAAAGTGCCACGTGATTCGATCGGAAGCGGTTCGATTGAGAAAGTCCGGGTCTCTGATAGCCGCGCGAAACGCGGCGGTAAGCTCGCGTTCGGCGCCCACGAAATTTGTGCCATTATCTGAATACATGGCCGAGGGCAGGCCGCGTCGAGCGCAAAATCGAGAAAACGCGCCGATAAACGTTGAGGTTGAGTACCCTCCACGAGCTCCAAATGAATGTCGCCATGCAAATAAAAATCGCGATATACGCTTTTCGTGACGGGATTCCGCGACCAGACAAGGATCGTACGAGCACCGGACCAGCGTAATCCAGTCCGCAATTGAGAAAAGCGCGTGCGGGAGGAGTCACCCGCACGCGAGGCAGATCACCCATCTGTTGGAAGGGAATCGTGGCCCTTTCTCGAGTACAAATAACGCAGCGAAAAATAGTGAGTTTTGCGAGACTTTGGGCGCGAAGTACCCAATACTCGCGTCGTAGAGTAGCGAGCGTTAATTGTAGACCTGCGTGTAGAGATTTTAAATGCACGTGATACAGAACCAAAGCGACTAGCGGATGTGAGGCGAGAATAATCGGGTGTTTAACGGAAAAGGAAAGCGGCGCGTGCGAAAGCCGCCCGCCAACACGGATTAATCTATCCTCGCCGAGGAAAGGGTTGAGCGACAGAATCGAGCTTTTTGAGGATATGGCTCGTTGACTTGTGAGCGCAGCGAACTCGAGAGGGAAAAGCTCTTGCTGAATCCGTCCCAGAACAAATTCTTTCGCGAGTTGACATTCGCGGGCTGATAACGCTAGCGTGTTCTCATTAACGTCGTCAACGGGAATCGACTGCCTCCGAGTTTTATTGATGAAGCGCATTATATACGCTGTTACGCGAATTAACCGAGGCCACGACGAAAATCTCATCGTAAAGTCGCAGTCAAGTGCCGTCGAAGCTAAATGAGACTGAATACTCTCCTTTTGTTCGATTTGAGTATTGAAATTGTGCGATCGAGAAGCCGACGGCTCGTCGATCGGGTAACGCAACCATGCTGGGCCGCACCACCAGAGTGGGTGAGTTCGAAGGAGAGACCCGGCGATTCCGCGAGATGCGCAATCTGCGGGATTTTCATCGATGGGAACGTGGTTCCACACCGCGTTCGGAACGCGCGATTGTATCTCTGATACGCGATTCGCGACGAACGTCTTCCATTTGGCCGGTTGTTGCGTGACCCACGCTAAAACGACAGTTGAGTCTGTCCAGCAATAGCACGGGGAGGTGGCGAGACCAAGAGTGGTTCACACAAATTCGAATAGCCGAGCCAGCAAGCCGGCTGCGCATAACTCCAGCCGAGGAATACTGAGGGACTTGATCGGAGCGACCTTTGACTTGCCGATTAGCAAGTGAGAAGAGATTTCGCCAGAAAAGGAAATGAGCCGAAGGTACACGGCCGCTGCGTATGCGTGAGTGGACGCGTCAGAAAATCCGTGCAATTCGCAGCGGACAGAGTCAGACCCTCGCTGAATCCATCGATTCAGTTGGAGATCGTGGAGATCGGCCAGTGAGGCCTGAAGGGCGTCCCACTTTTGCAGGACGTCAGTCGGAAGGACATCGTCCCAGTCGAGTTTAAGCTGCCACAATTGTTGCATAAAGATCTTGGCAGCGATTGTTACTGGAGTGCACCACCCCATTGGATCAAACAATTTGGCAACGTACGAGAGTATTGACCGCTTGGTTTTTGAAACGGACAGAATATGAGTTACGGTAAATTGGAACATATCGGAAGATGAGCTCCAGCTTATGCCTAAAATTCTTAGATGTTCGTCGATTCGAAGAGTGCGATCGCACGCGAGGCCGTGGTTGTCGACCTCGATATCGTTCAGCAGAGCAGCAGAATTGCTCGACCATTTTCTCAATTCGAACCGTCCCCGACCGAGCAAAGCGCAGACCTGATCGCGAGTTTGTTTGAGAAGCGGAATATCATCGGCACCGAACAGAACATCATCGACGTAGATGTTCTCATGCAGGACCGGCGCGGCAAGAGGAAACGAGCTGCCTTCGTCCGTCACGAGCTGTTGTATAACCCGAAGAGCGAGAAAGGGCGCGCACGCTGTCCCGTAAGTAACCGTGGTCAGTTGATAGGACTGCACGGTATCTGAGCAGCCGGCGCTCCATAAGATTCGCTGGAAGTCGATGTCACAAGAGTCAACACGGATTTGGCGACACATCTTCGCGATGTCCGCCGCATATACATACCGGAATTGCCGCCATCGCAAGATCACTGCAGGTAACTCCGTCTGGAGTTTCGGACCTGCATGCAAATGATCGTTTAACGAAATCGAGTTTGTCGTTCGACTTGACGCGTTAAAGACGACTCTCAATCGCGTAGTGAGACTGCTGTCTCGGATGACAGGATGATGCGGAATATATACGTGCTGAGCGGAAAGCACTGAGTCCGGAACTTGACGCATATGACCGAGCGCTTCGTATTCGCGCAAGAAATCGACGTATTTGGACTTTAGAACAGCGTTCGACCGAAATCGTCGGTGAAGACTGGAGAGTGAACGCTCGGCGATAAAACGCGATTCACCAATGTCGATTGGTGGATCGCGCCTGAACGGCAGACGCATGACGTACCGACCGTCAGCATCGCGCGAATGTGTTTGTGCGAAGTGCTGTTCGCACTGTTGTTCTTCTGGGCTGAGAAGCGCGCGACGCGGCACTTCTTCGACTTCCCAGAAGCATCTGAGTTCTCGATCGAGAGTATCCGCGCTCGCGCAATGCTGCACGGTAACCGATCGATGCGGCGCACCGGAATTCGACGTGGGGCCTGAGAGGACCCAGCCAAAGATCGTCCGCTGGGCGATCGGTTGTCCGCTCGTTCCTTTCCGAATACCGTCGAGTAATAATTCGGGATAAAGGTCCGCACCGATGATGAGTTCGATAGATTCGGCACTGACGGGAGTCGGATCCGCGAGCGCAAGATCCTGAAGATAGCTCCAATCGCACAGAGAGAATGCCTTTGATGGCAAGTATTTAGTTAAAACTTTGAGTATCGACGCGGTCGTCGTTAACACCGGTAAGTTAGAATTGATCGGAACGATCTTGACTTGAGCGGCGAAACGACAAGTGCCCGCATCTACGCCGCCGACGGCGGGAATCGAAAGAGGCAATCGAACACGTTGCAATTTTAAATTTTGAGCGAGACGCTCTGTGATAAAGGTAATTTCTGAGCCTTGATCGAGGCGCGCTCGCACGTTGAGTGTACGACCCGACGGCGAAAAAACAGCAACACGGGCGGTCGCGAATAATACATTTTTGCGCGCGGTGACCGTCGAAGTAGAAAATAATGCCGTTACTGAGTCGTTTTCTTTTTTATCCGACGTCGCGTTTAACACGGTCGTTGAGTTTGGATTTGTTGGTTATATCGTGCAGCAGGATGACTCCAACACCAAGTGAACAGAGAAATCGGAATTGAGATTGATATAAAAATAGCGTATATATTTTAGCTTCTAGAGTACAGAGTGTGCGACCGCAAGTAAGAAAAAAAAGGAAACCATATATATATAAGTGATAATGAGAGCGGCGTACGCGCGTCAAAAAAAAAATCTTGCACATGCGCGCGACGATTAATACGCGAGCGCTGATGTGAGTAAACGCGGCAGAATCGTTGTCCTTTTGAAAGAATTGATACACCAACACCCCTCCTCAACGATTACTCTTCATTAACCGATTGTTTGCGCGAGCTCCACCAGTTGACATCCTTGTCGGTGTTTCTTCAGCTTCACGGCCCCCAGTGGTTTTGTCATCATGTCGGCGATCATCTCGTCGGTTGGACAGTATTGCAGATCAACGATTTTTTTCTTGATCAGATCCGTGACGAAATGGTATTTCAAATTGACGTGTTTTGTCCTGTTCCTCGATTCGCCAGTTTTTACCAACTTGATCGCGCTTTGGTTGTCCTCGTACATCCGGATAGGCCCGGTTGGTGCTATCCCGAGATCGCCAAGCAGTCTTCTCACCCACAGCAGCTCTCTGGTTGCTTCTGCTATGGCGATGTACTCGGCTTCGCAACTTGACCACGCTGTGCATGTTTGCTTCCTACATGCCCAGGCTATTGCTCCTCCGTTGTACCTGAAAATGAACCCGCTGTGTGATTTGCTGTCCATCCTGTCCTCCGCCCAGTCCGCGTCTGCGTAGACCTCGAGCCCGTTTGTGGTACTTGTCAGTTTCAGTTTCAGTTTCTTTGTACCCTTTAGATACCTGACAATTCTCTTGGCCTCGTTCCAGTCTGTCTCTGTCGGTTGTTTGACGCGCTGACTCAATATCGACACGCTTGCTGCTATGTCGGGTCTCGTGTGGGTTGCTACATACAAGGCTCCGATGAGTTTCTGGAATTTGTTTCCGTGGCTCATGGCCTTTCCATCGCGAGCTATCTTCATGTAGCCTGTGTCCAGGGGCGTCTTGGATATCTTCGCGTCCTGCAATCCGAATCTTTCGATTATTTTCTGGATATATTGAGCCTGATCCATGTAAAAAATCCCGTCTGCGTCCCTCTCGATGTTAATTCCGAGGTAACTCTTCAGTTCCCCAAGTCTCGTGAGCTTGAACTGCGCTGCGAGCCCATCAACCGTGTTTTGAATTTCGTTCGCGTCCTTGTCCGCTATCAGAAGGTCATCCACGTACACGACCACATATTGCACACTCTTCTGGCTCTCTTTTGAATACAGGTAAGGGTCCGAAGTGCTTTGCTTGAACCCTAGCGTCCTGAGCGCCCTGTGTAGTTTCTCATTCCAGGCCTTCGCAGCTTGCTTTAGTCCGTATATGCTCCTGTTGAGCTTGCATACGAATCTCTTATTTTTGTCAACGAATCCCTCCGGTTGTTTCATATAAATCGCTTCGGTTAGCTCGGCATTGAGGAAAGCCGTCTTCGCATCGAAGTGATGAATCTTCAGTTTCCTTAGTGTCGCTACCGCGAGTAATAGGCGCAGCGTCGAAGCCCTCACTACTGGCGCGAACACTTCGTCGTAATCTGTTCCGTACTTCTGGCTGAATCCCTGCGCGACAAGTCGCGCCTTGTATCTCATTAATCCAGTGACGGTATTTATTTTTCTTTTGAAAACCCATTTGCAACCGATGGCTTTTCTCCCT